AAGCTCAACCTTCTGAAAGGAATGAAAAAAACTCCTTTGAGAGCCTCTCAAACAAATGCAACCGTTCATGTAAAGCAAAATTATGCAGTCTTCTCGACACAAAACTTCAGGGGCACGCATAGCTGCCACCCCATATACCCGCGAACAACGTTCTCTCCATAATAGACTTACAGCAAGGCTCCAAATAGCACGACTGGCAATAGCTTCAAGAGTTCTACCCTTCTATTGGCTTGGACACCACTCCACCACTTCCTCCCATGTTTTCAACCCAGCAACAGGAGTGAGAGTGAGCATACACTTTTGAACCACAAACTTCATAAAGGGACAAGCATAAAACAGATGAAAGCAATCCTCAACACCTCTTGGGCACATCACACAGAAACCTTAAACAGGCTCCCCTCAAGCTAGAAGCTTATCCATGGTACGCAATCTCCTCATCACAGCTAGCCACAATATGAATCTGTGTCTAGGAACCACCTCCCTACTCTATATCATTTCATACCAGGGAACAAACGAACTGCGGGATCGAATTGTCTCCCAAACTCTTTTGACATAGTATCGAGGCATTTGAGCTCCGTCCCAAAGCAGAGAAGCCCCCTGCTCAGATATATGTTGCATGATATCACCTCTACATTTCAGCAAGCGTCTCCATATCCAAGAGCCTTCAGCCCCTGACTTCAAATCCCAGAAAGACACCTGCTTAATGCGATAGCGAGTCACCCACGCAACCCACATAACGATGAATACTCCATCACTAGTATCATGCCAGATTAGAGAATCATCAACATCCTAACGATGTAGCGGGACTACTTTGATTGCGTGCACTACCTCTGGAAGGAATAAGTGATTGAGTATTTACACATTCTATCTTCCTTCCCTTGGCCATAATAGATCTGCAACTGTTGGGTCGCTGCCCTCCTGAATCATCTGAGGGAGGGTGGGGGGGGGGGGGGGGAGTGTGCGGATGCAACTTCGGGACCCAACTAGAACTCTGAATGGATACAGTTTGACTGTTTCCAATCTGCCAATGCAATCCTTGTTGGAGCAAGTGGCGACCATAAAGGATACTTTGCCAACCCCATGAGGATCGAGAACGCATCGTTGTCGTGAGGAAATACCCAGCTGGGAAATATTTTTCTTTATAGACCTGGGCTAGGAGGGATTGAGGTTCGTTAAGGATTCTCCACACAATTTTGGTCAAAAAGACCTGATTAAAGTATTCGAACCGTTGAAAACCGATCTCCCCATCATGCTTACTCCGACACATATTTCGCCAAGACATCCAGCGGATGCGTGACTGCCTTCCCTCAACCCTCCACCATAATCTCACTACATGTTTATCCAAGAAACGACAGAGGGAGAGCGGGAGCTTGAAATAGGACATCACATGAAGGGGAAGCGAGGACGCAACTCATTTGATCAAAGTGCCCTTTATTGCCCATGATGAAGTCCTCTACTTTCATCACTGCAGTTGTTGAAGCAATTTCTCTTCGAGAAACCGGAAATTCACCCTTTTTGACTAGGTGATAAGAGTATGGAGGCCCAAGTATTTTTCCTGTACCCTTACCACGCCTACACCCAGTATCTGGGCGAGAATGTCCCGGTCTGGTTGCAAGATATTGTTACAATTAAAACTTTTACGTCGGTTATATATGTATCTAGAGAACTCTAAGTGGCTATATATATATATATATATGGTGGCGTCTTCGGTGCACTCACTTTTTTGGGTGCATTCAGTGCACTCGCTTCATAATCATCATTTTAAACATGAGATTTATGTCAAAATGATGTTAATCATCACTTATGATGTGATGAACAATAACGCACATGAATTTGCACAAAAAACCATGAAAGATTTGCTTTAATTTGAAGGATTTAGAGTTTAAAGATCTAGGGTTAGGGTTAGGGTTTACAGTTTGGGGTTTAGGGATAGAACTCAAAATTGGAGGTCTAGGGCTTAGGGTAATCCGCTAATTAGTTGTTATCATATGTTATATCATCATATTATACTAATTCTACAAATTAAAATTCAAAATCCGACTCCTTAAGAATAGTTTTTGAGTTGGGTGCATTGAACGCACTCATTTTTGTGAGTGCGCCGAAGTAGTCACCATATATATATATATATATATATATATATATATGTATATGTGTGTGTATGTATATGTGTGTGTATGGGGAGTGTGGGGAACAACACCAAAAGTATCCAAAAAGGGGTCCGGATCTGGTCATTAACTCTATGGTGAGTAACAATGCGTAACCCTATCATTAGCCACCACATTAGTACTCCTGCCACTTATGGAAGACATCTAACCTTTTTTCATTTTAAAAGGATGATTTCTCTCTCAAAATGATATCCACTTTGATATATTTTTTGAAAAAAAATAATATTAAGACATTTAGTACCAGTCTGTAATATATTGTATTGATTGGTATTAAATAAGAGCTTTTCATGTGGTAATAAAGTGTACCATGGTGGTATGAACATACCAAAATGTATGATGGTTGAATAATGATATTAGAAACATACTAACGGTCATTTACTACATTCAACATTGTTTTTTTTATAAGAGTGATATAACTTTCATTGTTTTGTGATTAAGATACTACTTAAAGGATTCAAACAAGTGACCTCACATTTCTAGGCTAGTGGTATTACCATTAGGCCAATCCCTTGTTCGTTACTACATTCAACATTGTTTACCATTCATATACCAGGTTGGTGTGGGTGGTATTTTTTTGTCATGTATTTGTTTCTCTTTGAAATTTGTGAAGCCAATAGATCAGGATGAACTCGTTCCTTCTTGCAAATATTTTCAAAAATGACTTAAAAATGAAAGTGTACCATATGCATATGGTATGTAGTTGATAACGAGATGTATGAAATTTTCCTCAAAAATATTGAAAATGGATCTCATTTTGTAGATCACAATGAACTCGTTCTATCTGTGAAAAAAAAAATTGAAGTCCAAATTAGAACAAAAAAGATAAGATCCGATTAAAAAAATGAAAAATAATTTAATTTAATTCCAATTAAAAAAAATCCATATCTTATTATGCAAATTATGTACCATACATAATTATATGGAGAGAAAAAAAATACTCCTTGTTTTGCTTACCTGCCGTCCCTACTCCCTATTATCAAAATCCCATTTACAAAACAGTTGTCCCCAACCCCATCAACAAATTACAAACCAACAATTCCCATCACGATAAACAAAATACCCAGAGTTCCAACACATCCAGCTCTGCTATGTCCATGTCAGGCAAACATATGGAGCCTGTCCCAAATGGCAAGAACCTGAGTAGTTCAAGCATTTTATATCAACTCTGCTATTGTTTACTGTTTCTTTGACCTGGTTAGAACGGCTGCTCAACTAAGCTCTTGCCGTTTTTTGTATCTCACATAGTGTTGTGGCCTGCTGTAGATTAGCTTGTTTAATTGAGTTGGGAGTAAAACAACATATAGAAGGAGCCAAAGCTAAACTTTAGCAAGGTTTGTATGGCTGGCTTGTTTGGGTGGTCGAACATTTTTATTGTTTAGCTTCAATGTATTTGTAAATTCTAAATAGATGTTCATTATCCCAATCCCATGATATAGATGTTTGCATATTGTAGTATTGTTATGTAAGGTGCATTTGTAAAAAGCATTGTTTTGCTCAATGTATCTCCAAAACCATTGTTGTGTGGGCAAAAGTCGATTTTAGATAAATAAGTAGGTAGTGGGTTAGTGATTATATTTGCTTAAAATATTTTTATGAGAACGGTCGACTAAACAAGTAGAATGAGCAAACCAGTTATAATAGTATTTTGGTTTATTTATTTGTTTAAATGATTAGCCATTGATCGAATGGATTTTCATGGTTTGACATAAAATGATATGAAACCACCCATGTTTAGATATTTTATTGGTTCACTATTTGAACCATAAAATAATTAAAAAGCAAAATACTTTAATCGTAATCTTAAACCATTTATAACCTCAATTACTAATTTTTTTTCTGTATTTTTTTTCTTCGTTCTTCCGGCTCATTGCCGGCTTTATGTGGTCCGCTACGGATTGGCCCCATTAATTACTAACATGAACTTAATAAAACTTTTTCGATTTCTTTTGTGTGATAGTTTGAATAATTTGATAGAATTATTGGAGATGAATGTTACGGATTTGAAATTGTTTATGTGTATTGTATTTGTCGTCTTCATGTTGTAAAACATGAACCGTTCTGTTTTTATCAACGGTTAATCGACAATTCCATAATGGCTAGCTATTGAAACACAAATCTCTAACCTTTCTGGCTCAAAACTGTTTTGAAAAAAAGAAAAAAAAAACATAAGCTTAAGAATTCTTAATATTTGATTCTGCTAAATCATAACGAATGAGCTTTGACTTACCATGATAAGGCCTTTGATGATCTGGTCACTGTAGTACTCGGGCTCCGACTCCTGCACCGTAAGCAAGAATGGTGCTTCGTCTCACACGTCACACCACTTCCTCTCTCTCTTTTCCCTCTCCCTAACCTATACCTAGCACTCAAATCCACCTAGGTAAATTTTGGATAAAAAATTGTGCACTTCTATACTATATATGTTTATGCATAGGAGTGAAAAATTTAATAACAACAACAAACTAAAAAATGTGGTGTCTAAAAAGCATATTAACAAGCTAAAGTAACTATAACATAGGACAATTAAGCAACCCATAAGCATACTACAAGTAACAAAATGAACTTGATACGTATTGTTAAATGGTGATGAAATGAGATACATATACACTTATAGTTATATGTTTAAAATAATTAACTTTCATGCATATTATAACTTTCGAGGTACTGCTAAACGTATCACTAGTTTAAAGATAAAACAAATATTATCAATACTTACTCATACAATATTTTACCAAAGCTTGGAACCAAACAGAATAAAAGCATGGCTCGATTCACTAGCTAGCTTCCTCAGTTCCAACTTCCAACCCATTACCTGAACAAACACAAGGATAAGCCATGATAGACCTGCTGCAGGGAGCTTCTTCCCTCGCCATTTCTTACTACCTCCTCTTCCTCCTCCCCCTCTTCTTCCTCTCCCTAACCTATCTAGCACTCAAATCCACAACTTCCGGCCGCGGCGGCGGGCGGAAACTCCCTCCAAGCCCACCGTGGGGGCTCCCAATCGTCGGCCACGCCAGCCTCATGAAGCCCCCAATCCACCGCAGCCTCCACGCCCTCGCCCAGCGCCACGGCCCCATCTTCTCCCTCCGCCTCGGCAGCCGTCCCGCCGTCGTGGTCTCATCCGCCGCCTTGGCCGACGAGTGCTTCACCAAAAACGACGTCGCCTTCGCCAACCGCCCCCGCTTCACCATGGCAAAACACATCCACTACAACTACACCACCATGACCCACGCCCCCTACGGCGGCCACTGGCGCAACCTCCGCCGCATCGGCTCCCTCGAGATCTTCTCCGCCCACCGCCTCGCCGCCTCCCTCCCCATCCGCCGCGAGGAGGTCCGCCGTCTCGTCGCCAAGCTCGCTCGTCGCTGCTGCGATGCCGGCGGCGCGGCGATGGTGGAGATGAAGTCAGCATTACAGGTATTAGAGTATGGATAGTACAAGTAGTATTATATTATATTATGAGTATTCTTATGTAATTTTGACACAGTTACATTCCTTATCAGAGAGTGCTAGAAATTATCTACTTTTTGTATCAGTGTTAGGGTTTATTACGGACAGTGGTGGAGGGAACCTTTGAGGAGAGGTGTCCTAGAATGTCACCTAGCTAAAAAAAATTGGGTACCAAAACTCTTTAAATATATGCGTTTTAGCATATGGTTATCGAAGTGTAGGACCGCTTACATTTATCGATAACCTCACGTAAGGACCCCAATTAATTCGAAATTTTTAAGGACCCCAGTCCATTCAAACTCTGGCTGCCACTAATTATAGAAATTTGTCATTCTACTCTATACAAACCCTGTTTGGTTTAGGTATTAACACACAATAATTTATGCCGTATTCTGATTTCTCAACACAAGGAGCTGACATTCGACACCATGATGATGATGGTGGCCGGGAAGAGGTTCTACGGCGACAGCGACGAGGCCAGGGAGTTCAGGGAGGTGATTAAGGAGGTGGTGTCGCGTGGCGGCGCGAGCAACCGCGCCGACTTCGGGGCGGTGCTGCGGTGGGTCGACGGCGGCAAGTTGGAGAGGACGGCGAGGGAGGTGGCGGGGAGGACGGATTCGTTCATGCAGAAGTTGATTGAGGAGCATAGGGGCGAGAAAAGGAACACCATGATTGACCACTTGCTTACGCTGCAAGAGTTGGAGCCCGAGTACTACAGTGACCAGATCATCAAAGGCCTTATCATGGTAAGTCAGCGCTCATTCATTATGATTTAGCAGAATCAAATATTTAGAAAAATGCAACATTTGGTCACTAGGATTACTAAATCGTGTTACTAGAAAAAATTAATATCAATTTTGGTCACTCGAATTACTAAAACATGTCACATTTAGTCACTCTCCCGTTAGGCTCCGTCCAACTCCAGTCACTTAAATTAATTTTCGGTCACTCGAATGATCAAAATTAATATTAATTTTGATCATGACTAAACATGACATGATAGTAATGTTAGTAACCAAATATGTCGTACGTACAAGAATTGAACCGAAGAGTGAAAGCATGCGTTTGAATTTCTGTTACAGCTCACAAGACAAAGACAAGGCACATGGTGAGGGCCCTGAATACATTATTAGAAAATAACTTTATTGGGACCAATTAAACAGAGAGAGTCCAGGGTCCGGGTAGGACGAAGTTGATAAGTGTGGGCACGGCAACTGGTCATGGTCGATTCACAGTTTGATATCAATCCATTAAAAAATAATTAAAAAATTTATAGATTAGTGATATATAAAGGTGAATCGAAAGTCGGTAAATTCCATATTCGTATTTATGTGGGTGGATGGATTGAGCGTCACACGGATTGTCATACTTCCTAACCACCCAACACACTTAATCATCAACTTCTAAAACCGAAAAATAAAGATATTTGGCGCACTAATATTGATTTCTACGTTGTCTATTGTTTATTAGATATTGGGATACAAATTACACGTATAATTGTATAAGTCACAATAAATGTTATTTTTCTCTATAATTGATTGATGGATTAACAAAATAATTTATAATCTCTCCCAAAGAAGTGAAATCCATATATGCGAGGTTCCTGAATTGCTGTAACATTCCTAATATGCGGTAAACTTGTTGTAAATGTTAGTTAACTCATCTAATGACTAATTGGAGAATTGCTATTCACAAGTTAACTCGTAATCCAACCGCATTGGTCCACCACTCACCCAGTCCAATCCAAAAAAGAGTGAATGAATAGTGAGTCACAATGATACCAACTCGTTACTAAGTATGTGAGTCGATTTGAAGGCAATATCCACCAACCCACCCAATGCTTATCCTAATGGTTGGTGTGCCATTCACTTTGACCCTTCTTAAGATTATTATAGCGTAATTACAATTTGTGGAACCCATTAGTTAATCCAGTGGTCCATTTCCTCTTCATTATTTTAAGTGTGTTCTCTTATTTTATTTTCTTAACCAATTAAGTCTATATATAGGCAGTATTGCATACTCATAAACGAAATTGACAAGCATGTATTTCTACTCTCTAAAATTATTATTATTATATCATCTCCATTCCAATGGCATTAATTATTAATCTTCTTGTTGCGATTGGCTAGCTTGGTCCAATTTTTTCGGATGTTTTCCAAAACGCGACTGATCACATGTTGAAACTTTAACATGATTAAGTACCACTTTGATATACAGAATTACGTGACTAAGCAGTGTCCTCTACAAAACATGTGATTCTTTATTTCCTTACATGATGTCTGATAATTTGGAAACATGTTTATTTGTGGTATTCCCAGGTCATGTTATTGGCAGGAACCGATACTTTAGCCGTGACTTTGGAATGGGCACTAGCAAACCTTCTCAATCATCCAAACATATTACTCATGGCAAGAGAAGAACTCGACAAGAAAATTGGTCAAGAATGCTTGATCGATGAGTCAGATATTTCCAACCTTTCTTACCTTCAGAACATAATCTCTGAGACCCTTCGACTGTACCCAGCTGCTCCACTCCTAGTCCCTCATGTGTCATCCGAGGATTGTGTGGTTGGAGGGTACCACGTGCCGCGTGGTACTATACTATTGGTTAATGCATGGGCTATTCACAGAGACCCTAATCTTTGGGACGATCCCACGAGTTTCAAACCAGAAAGGTACCAGAATGAAGGGAAGGAAAGTTATAAGATGATACCTTTTGGGTTGGGTAGAAGGTCTTGTCCTGGTGTAGGTCTTGCTCATCGGGCTTTGGGGTTGACACTTGGGATATTGATCCAATGCTTTGAATGGGAAAGAGTGAGTGAGGAAGAGGTTGATATGACTGAAGGGAAAGGGGGTTCAATGCCTAGAGAGAAGACATTGGAGGCCATCTGTACGAGTCGTCCAATTGTGAAGAAATTCTTTTCATGAAAAAATTAAGACATCAAATATCAAGACTTAAACTACGCTCTTGTTTGAAAATTTCTAAATGCATGGATGAGCCAATGCGTGTTGTAGCTAAGTTGACAGTGTTATGGAATTAAATAAGTAGTTTTGTACTTTTATTCATCAAGTCTGAAGAATTAAAGACGTGTATTACCTGAGGTGGCAGTTTAAGTTAATCAAGAATGATATTCAGAATCGGTTGGGTGACCAATTTATTAATGCTTGTTTAGTTGTGTACATAAGAAATTTGATTTGCAACATCAGTGAGGAATGTGAAAAACCGTTGTGGTTGGAAAGACTAAAATATCTCACATAGTGAAACATCATCTCTGCTTTCTCTCTCCTTTTTCTCTCGCTCTGCTTCCCCAAATCGCGATCTGATGGCCACCGTCGCTGACGGTGCCTCTCCGGGCGCTGCCAGTGGCAGCCGGATTTGGGCATCGTTGTTTCATGTATCGGATGATTTTCGGTTGGATTATTACGAGCCTGAAATTGTGAACGGTTCTCTGAGGATTCCGAAGTCGGTAGTCCAAGAAGGAGTGAAGAGGTGGCAACACAGCCTCGTTGATCAATTCCTTGGATCGCCACCATCACTCCCTTCACTTCGATTTTGGGCTAATTGGATATGGGGTCGTGAAGGTGAGGTCACAGTTTCTTCTCTTGATGATTGTCTTGTGCTTTTTCAATTTCCATCGGAATCATTTTGTAGATGGGTGTTCGAGGGGGGACTTTGGCATTATCGTGAGAAGCTCATTTGTCTGAGACGTTGGGTCCCTGGGATTCAAGCTTTGGACATTGATAATTCGGCAATTCCTCTATGGATAGGCTCTCAACTCTTCCTACGAAATTGTCATCGAAGGAAGGATTAGGCAGAATTGCGAGTACCCTAGGCAAGTCGTTATGTATGGATCAGCCGACAAGGCGAGGTATGAAGCTGGGACTGCGCGAATCTGTGTGGAGATGAAGGCTCAGAAGCATATGGTGAATCCAGTGAGTGTGACTCCAGATGGACTGCTTCCTATTTTCATTAAAGTGGAATATTGTGGGCTCCCAGCTGTCTGTGAATCTTGTGGGGTCTTTGGCCATGACTGTGCTCTACCTCCGGGTGCTCAGACAAAACGAGTTGATCCAAAATGTGTGATTGTAATCTCCTTACTGATCATCTGGATAAGAGTGGCAGTAGAGAACCTGGCCTAAAGGAGATGAAAATGTTTCGTGGAACACTAGAGGACTGTGGTCTTGAAGATTGTGGCTATTTCGGGAGAGTTTTCACCTGAGAAAACAATAGAGATGTGGAAAATTAAACTAAAGAGAGACTTGAGAGCAGTTGCAAATAAGAAATGGAAACATTTATACCCAAACATGAAACTAAATCATTTGACAGGTGTGGTGCTGACCATATCCCCATCCAGATGGTTTTGGACACAATGGAAGAGGAGATTACTTGGGGATGGTCGTTTCGATACGAACATTATTGGGAGAACCACAAGGACTGCGAGCAGATGGTAAAAGAAGGTTGGACTACTCAGGAAAATGTCTCAGTTATGGAATGAATAAATTGTTAGGCTGGAGCAAAGAAGCCTTCGGATCTCTAAAAACTAGAAAGAACAAAATTGAGAGACTGTTGAAGAAGGTGAATTGAAGAAAAAGAACCAAGACTATGTTGGAACAGAGAAAGCCCTTAGAGCATGAACTTGATGATATATTCTATCAGAAAGAATGTAAATGGAGGCAACGATCGAGGCTTGATTGGTTAAAGGTGGGTGATAGTAATACTGGCTTTTCCACAGGAAAGCTTCAGAAAGAAGAAAAAGAAACATTATAAAGAAGCTCATGGATGATTCAGGGATGGTTTGGACTGGTCAAGAGGGGGTAGAAACCTGCCCAGTGGACTACTACAAGGGACTCTTCACATCAGGGGAACCCCCTCTTACAAACCAGTTTATTTCAGCTGTAGATCAGAGTGTTACCCCAGAAATGAATCAGACACTTCTCAGGCCTTTCACTGAAGATGCGATATGGGGAGCATTATAGATGATGGGGCCAACCAAAGCTCCATGGTCTGATGGAATGCCAGCGCTCTTCTTCCAACACAATTGGGAAGTGGTAGGTCTAGAGGTGACCAGGGCTCTTACTAGCTACTTACAGATTGGGAGTTTTCCCCCAAAGTTGAACTATACCATGATTGCTTTAATTGCAAAGACAAAGAAACTAGAGAAGCCTCTCAAGTTTCGTCCCATCAGCCTCTTCCAAATTCTTTATACGATCATGGCAGAGGTTTTGGAAAATAGACTTAAGAAGATTCTTAACAAAGTGGTGGGGGAAATCAAAGCACTTTTTTCCCGAAAAGAAAGATTATGGACAATGTTCTTATGGCTTTTGAGTGTTTTCACACGATCAAAAACAAGAAGAAAGAAAAAATAGGAGTGATGGCAGCAAAACTTGGTATTTCGAAAAATTACGATCAGGTGGAATTGCATTTCCTAGAGGCAATCATGCTTAAGTTAGGCTTCAACGCAAGATGGGTGCATTTTGTTATTAATTGTGTCAGCACGATCACATACTCCATCCTACTGAATGGTCACAAATCTATGGAATTTAAGCCAGATAGAGGACTTAGGCAAGGTGATCCACTCTCACCTTACCTATTTCTACTCTGTGTGGAAGGATTGTCTGATCTAATCCATTAGGAGGTTAGCAGAGGCACAATCCTTGGACTCAAAGTCTCTTGCATTGGTCCAGCCATCTCTCATCTGCTATTTTCATATGAAAACATTATGTTTGCAAGAGCTACACCACCGGAATGTAGGAAAATGAAGGAAATTTTACATATCTATGAGCTGGAATCAGGGCATAAAGTGAATCTTAAAAAATCTGAGTTCAGTTTCTCCCCAAGTGTGAAAGCAGACAAGGCAAATAAGTGGATTAACATCCAAGGGATGAAACATGTAGCAGAACATGCGAAATGCCTGAGGCTCCCTACGAAAATGGGAAGGCAAAGAAGGTTGTCTTTGGTGTACTGTTCGATTGTGTTAGGAAAAGGGTTAAACACTGGAAGAGCCAAACACTCTCGATAGCATCCAAGGAAGTCTTAATCAAGTCTGTAGCACAATCTCAAGCTACCTACACCATGTTGGTGTTTAGAGTGCCAGAAGGGGTATTGGATGAAATTAGAAGGGTGATTTCGGCTTTCTGGTGGGTACAACAAGTGGAGGAAAAACGTATCCCTTGGAAAGCCTGGAAGAAACTATGCAAATCAAAGTAAGAAGGAGGCATGGGATTCAGAGATCTTGAAACTTTCAACATGGCCCTACTTGGGAAGAAAATCTGGAATCTAATGGAGAATTCGGAGACCCCAGTAGTGCAGGTTTTGAAAGCCAAATATTCCCCCATTCTGACATCCTAGGGGCATCTATTGGTAACAATTCAAGCTAGACTTGGAGAACTTTGATGGCAGCACATGATCTGGTCAAGCAGGGATTAAGATGGAGATTGGGGAATGACTTGCACATTAATATATTGGAGGACAGATGGATACCAGGAGTTGAGGATGATGATTTCAGAGTAACTTCTTTGCGATCGGATATGGTAGAGGGTAACCAGATGGGTGATCTAATCGAGTATGACACTAGAACGTGGAAGAGGTTGTTGCTGCAACATTACTTTTTCCCGGTAATTAGCAGCTACCATTAAGCACACCCTTTGCCAATAGCAAAGAGTCTCGAAAAATACAGAGGCATAAAAGCCCAAATCCTTCTTACATCAGACTCAGCATGATCAACCCAGAAGGAGAAAAGAAAAACACAATTTCCTATAGCAAATGACAACAATCAGGAATCTTCATAACCTCTTCATGGAATGCAACATTCCCACACCCATACAACCCCACCTCCTGTCGAAGCGCTTCAGCGAGAGCAGCTAGAGAACGGGGACCCTCGCCAAAGCAACGGCGACACCTTTCTTTCCAAATAAAGCAAAGACACCAGCACCACAGCGATCATTCTACCAGGTCAGATCCATCTCCCTGCAAAGCTTTCACAGTTATAAAATCCAACATACCACTCCAATTCAAGGGGAGAGAAACTGTCCTCTTAAGAAGAGCAGCAGCAAAGTCAATAGTATAAGAACATTCACAAAATAGGTGTTGTCGAGATTCAACAGCAGCATTACACAGGGGACAAGTATCATCAATTATCAAACCCCAACTCCTAAGTTTATCCCAGGTTGCAATCCTATCAAGGATGATCAACCATGTGATAAAACGATTGCATGGTAATGTAAATTTGCCCCATATAACTCTCTACCAAGACACCTCAGGCTTTCTAAGACGGATTGTATCCCAGATCAACGAGACATAGAACTTGTTCATCTTCCTTCCCATCCAAGTCACATTCTCATCTATCTCAAGAGTCATTCTGAATTGGAGCCAAGGACGGATCTTGAGAAGCTACTTCCAGATCCATGATCCAGAAGATGTGAGCATGACATCCCAAATACATTTACCCCGTAGCCTATATCGAGTACACCAGGCCACCCAAAAACTCCCTCCTTGAATAAAAAGAAGCCAGATCAGTCTAGCAAGACACGCAACATTCCATGAACTCAAATCTTTTAAACCAAGCCCCCCTTCCTTCTTTGGCAAAGCAATTGAATCCCAGGAGACCTTGGCCCTACCAACTTCATCCCCATGCCACAAAAAATTGGAGTAGATTCTTTGAATAGATTTTAAAACTTTTTTAGGGAGGATGAAAATTACTATCCAGTAGTGAATCAGGGCATAAAGAACAGACTCAACCAACTGCATTTTACCAGTCTAAGAAAGCTTTTGAGCTCTCCAGCCTCTGATCCTACTTGTTAATTTGTCTACCAAAACAGCACATTCAGCACTAGACAGTTTACCAGAGATCAATGGCGGCCCCAAATAATGAACTGGTAGCTGACCTTCTACAAATCCAGAAACTTGCAAAGCAATGGACTTAAATTGA